CCTCCCCCTGCCCCTGGTAGCTCAGTTGCCCCCACCCACAGCCTTGTCCCCACCTCCTGCACGTGCTCCTTGGCCCGAAGGTCCGAGGGGTGCATGAGTGAGCCCATGACCTTGACGTTGCCGTGCACGACCAGCGCCTCATCTGGACGGTCCGTGTTGATGCCCACACGGCCATGGTGGAAGACTGTGTCGGGCACCTGTGCCCGCTGCCACAGCACATCGCTGTCACTCTCAAACTGGCCTGGGTTGGAGGCCTAGCACGAGTTGGGGTTGGATGGATCAGTCCTGGGGGATGGGAGACCTGCAGTCCCCTGGGGAAGGGGGAAACCCCACAGCCGCCCCTCCAGCTCCAGCCAGGGCTCCTCACCCCACCATACCCAACTTAAACTGCCCCTCCCATGTGGCAATTTTCACTTGTGGGATTTCAGAAAGCTCCCAGGTCCTGTCCACCTCAACCCTTTAGGAGACACTGAGGCTCAGAGAGGGCGGAGGCTTTCCCAAGGCCACACAGCCAGTGCCCAGCAGGATCAGCAAGCACACAGCCCAACACCCAAGTACCCCGATATTTCTCCTGGGTGTTTTTCTCCCAGCTCTGGGGAGGACTCTCAAGACCCTAGGGGAGGTATCCTCACCCGCACGATGATCCGTTCTGAGATCTGGGCAGCCAGCGTGTAATTCTGATTCTGTGCATGGGCTTGGAGGGCCACCACCAGCATGAAGTACCTGGGGCACACAGGGGTCTTAGAGGCACCCAGGGTCCTGCTCCACCTGCCTCTGCCCACCCCCCAGCCCCTGCCATCCTACCCAGGTCAGATGCACAGTGCACAAAACTGTCCCCTCAGACATCTCCCTCAGGCTCCTGCAGCCCAGGCAGTGGGCGTGAACACCCGGTACTACAGAGGAGGAACCCGAGTCTCCACTAGGGGGCAGAATTTCCCCAGGGCCGCAGCTAGGCAGCACAGAGCGGTTCCTTAATCCAGAAGCCAGCTTCTCTCTCCCATCCTTAGTCAATTAAGGGCCCTGACTTTCAGGTCCCTCATCTGTAAAATGGGTTAGTCTGTGGGACTCTGCCTGGCGTGTCACACAGGGTGGCAAATTCCTCGCCCTCCTCCTCCGAAATGGTGTTACTCTGGGACAGGGGTCTAGCCTGCTCACCTCTGGTCAGGATTGGGCTTGCCCTTCTTGCGCATGTTGTTGGCGGTGGTCTCACTGAAGTGCAACCGCCCCACAGTCACCTTTGTGACCTGCTCAGGCGGCAGACTGACCCTGCAGAGGAGGGGACAGGAAACTCAGGGGGCAGGCACAGGGAATGTGGAGAGCCGGGCCACAGGGTGGCACCCAGGTGAGGGAGGTGGACATTGTGGGTGCCTGCCTAGGCCCCTTCAGCTTCCAGGCCAGCTTGTGGGTCAGCCCTCCCAGATGCCACCCCCAAGGGGTCAGATACTCACGTGACAGGGTTGAAGGGCCGCTTGCTTCGATCTGACTGAGACTGCTCGATGTTGATGGACTGGTTCAAGGCCTCTAGCTGGGGGAGGAGCAGAGCCCAATGGCACCTCAGGGCCTGGTACCCACCTGGTTCTGGCTCCCTTCAGCCTCTCAGCCCAGGCCTGGCCCATCTGGAGCTCATGCGGAAACAGAGGCACCACCCTCCCCTCAGCCTTGCTTCCCCATAAACTCAGGTGCCCTCTCCTACACAGTCACCCCCCACAGCTGCATACCCACACCCCGCACCCACCTCTGCGTGCACACCCGAGCATACACACTCCACATCGCCCTCACAGACCTCAATCCACACCCACACTCCCCCAGCCTGAGTGACATCCCAAACTGGCCTCTACAAACATGCACTCACTCCAGCCCCCACACATGTCCCCTCAACCTCTCCACACCACACTGAAGGAGACATACCCTGCCACACCCCCAGGGAACTCTCAGACTTAAAATCATTGTCCACTAAGGTTGTGCTGTGGGGTGGGGGGTGG